CAAATAAACTAATCTGATAGCAGGGCTGGGAAAGATCTGCCTGAGAGCCTGGAGAACCCACTCCCAGTCAGATATTAACTGTGGACTGCTTATTTGCTAATTCATAACTCTTCTGTTGCACATTGACAAAAAAAGAGTACAGTCATACCTTGGTGTTCGAACAGCTTAGTTCTCGAATGTTTTTGCTCCCGAACACTGCAAACCCGGAAGTCAGTGTTCCAGTTTGCAAACTATTTTTGGAAGCCAAATGTCTGACGTGGGCTTCCGCGGCTTCAGCCAATCAGAAGCTTTACTTTGGTTTCCGAATGTTTTGGAAGTCAACAGATTTGAACTATATGCCCTAAAGAGGAGGCTATATTGAAGTAAGCAGTTCTAGAACTTGCACATTACTCCACTCATATCCCCATGTCTTTTGTTTTAAATCTGTAGGTAATTTCTTGCTTGACAGTTTGAAAATAGTATTTCAGGATTAATTAAGCCAACTTTTTTATAATTCCAGGTGGTGTGGTTCAACCAGTATAAAAAGTCTTTGGCTACCTATATGAGATCTTTAGGAGGAGGAGACGGGCTGGACCTCACACAGGACATTCAACCCCCAAAGTTTGTACATTGAAGTAAGTGAAATTTAGAACTATGGAAGGCTTATTGTATTTGGATGTCATTGGCAGTGTAGTCATATGTAGGTACTAAGAAGTCAGTTCCTGGAAATAGTTTGTTGCAGGCAGAGGAATCAGAGTTGGAAGGGACCCTGAGAATCATCTAGTCCAACCCCTCAATGCAGGAATATGCAGCAGTCCCATACAGTGTTCGAACCTGCAACCTTGGTGTTATCAGCACCTTTTCACAGAATTGTTGCAGTTTATTATCACAGATAATAACTATTGTTTAACAGGGTAATAAAAAGCTAAATGAAACTTACTAATGTGTTCATATATAGGAAGTATGAATCCTTTTGTCTACATATGCTTTGTTGTTTAGTCGTTTAATCCGACTCTTCGTGACCCCATGGACCAGAGCACACCAGGCACTCCTGTCTTCCACTGCCTCCCGCAGCTTGGTCAAATTCATGTTCGTAGCTTCAAGAACACTATCCAACCATCTTGTACTCTGTCATCCCCTTCTCCTTGTGCCCTCAATCTTTCCCAACATCAGGGTCTTTCCCAGAGAATCTTCTCTTCTCATGAGGTGGCCAAAGTATTGAAGCCTCAGCTTCACGACCTGTCCTTCCAGTGAGCACTCAGGGCTGATTTCCTTAAGAATGGAGAGGTTTGATCTTCTTGCAGTCCATGGGACTCTCAGGAGTCTCCTCCAGCACCATAATTCAAAAGCATCAATTCTTTGACGGTCAGCCTTTTTTATGGTCCAGCTCTCACTTCCGTACATCACTACTGGGAAAACCATAGCTTTAACTATACGGACCTTTGTCGGCAAGGTGATATCTCTGCTTTTTAAGATGCTGTCCAGGTTTGCTACATATAGCTAGTTTTCCTTAACACAGATTTCTCTGACAGTACTTTAATTTGATGATTATTTATTTCTTTTACAGGTTCGGTGTTTGAAAGATTATGGAGAATTTGAGATTGATGATGGCACAACAATTCTGTTGAAGAAGAACAGCCAGGTATTTATGATGAGACAGCAAACAGAGAAGAACTCAATTTGGGTTCCCTGTTGTTTAAGGAGCTAGATGGAAGTGGTTCTCCTCTGATTCTGGCACAGGAAGTTGCCCTAGGTACAGTTAGCCTAGTACTTTAACAGGAGATCCCAGAGATTGAACCAGAGCCAACTCCAGGTTTACATGGGCCCTTGAGATTATTTTATTGTCCTGCCCCTCTGTCCTATAAAAGTCCACAGGCTGATGGATGAGGGAAATCTCATACACAGCAAGAAAATTGGGAGGAGGATGCAGCAGTGCTGATGAAGAAACCAGTGGTATGGCGGGGAAGGAAGGAGCAAGGAGATGGTGCAGCTGTCTGTTTGTGACCTTCTGTATGCAAAGTGTGTGCTATTGTTCCTCCACACTCTCATTATGCTTACCATTGTCAGCTTTCATGTCATTCTATTCATTTTCATGAAGGAAAACGCTGGAGCCATTTTAGTACTTTCTATCTAGAAAGATTCAAAAGCATTTCATTATGTTGGTTTATTTAAAACATTTATCTACTGCTTAATCATTTGTATTTCTAAACAGTGTTAATAACAGCAATGCACAGAACATGGGATTTACAGCAGCTATGGCTAAAATAGCGGGGGTTATTCTATTATTGGATTTCATTTGAAAACAGACAGTACATGTAGAACCAGGAGTTACTGCCTTAACTACACCATAAATAAGACCAGCTTTAGCTTTATAAAGGGGACGATGAGAGATTGCAAATGTTTGCCTCAGCTTTGAAAATTGTTTGCTTCCCCACAGCATTTTTTACCACGCTGGAAATGCGAGCAGTTAATCAGGCAAGGAATTTTGGAACACGTCCTTTCTTAACTTGCTGTTCGCAAGACTGATTTAAGTACCTATAAACATTTTAGCAGATTTTAAATGGGGTAAGTATAGAAACATGCCACAGTGTCTTGTGTTTTTGGGGGGGAAATGCGGAGACTTAGTTACTGTTGTGGGAACTGCATGGATACTTAGTGAAGAGGACAAAGAAGAAGATATGATCAACAATTTTAAAATATCTCTATCCCAAAACAAGTGGAATTTCTTTTAAGCTCATAGCTTGCCTTCACTTCTGGACACATTTTGAAGTATCATGTTTTTATTCGCTGCCCTTTTTGTATGAACCAGACATCGTCTTACTGTAAATGTCATGCTTAGAAGAAAGCCACAACATTTGTACTATTAAGTGTGTGCATTGTTAAAAGACCTCTGAAACGATGTAACGATAAAGTTACCCGAGTGATACAGGTTAAGTTGCAGGTTAACTGCTGCTAACACTTGTGTTTTCTCTCTAAGCTTTTATGCTATGGTTCTCATTCAGCAGGGCCTTGAAGTAGATGAACTACAAGGCTCCTTCCAACTCACAGAACAGAGGTGGGCTAACTTTTATTTGGCCTGAGGCCTTGACCAGCATTCAAGTGGCTGCAGGCCAGCAGTGGGCGTGACCATTCCACATGCACACAGATGCCCACTTTCTACAACCGATTTGTGCAAATTGGCTGGGTGGAGAGACTTATCACCCCCTCACCACTCATCAAAACATCTATCTGATGACTGGGAAGGTGATTTGCACCCCATTCTAGCTACCACCCACCTCAATTCTGTGTCCATTATAAAGAAATAAATTGCTCCATTGTCAAGCTGTTTCTTGTAAGATGTTCAATAAAAATGCCGCTTGCACCTTAAGCCTGTTAGCTCTAGTCCTGTCCACTGGAGCAGCGGAGAACATAGCTTCTGTGTGTCAGCCTTCATCCTTTCTCTTCTCTAGTTAAACATCCCTAATTCCTTCAGTCTTTCCTCATTGAACTTGCTTTCCATACTACTGGCAATCTGTACTGCCTTATCCACTGTACCCATTCCAGACTCCAGATGAGGTCTGCATAGTGCTGAACAAATTGCAGTACAAGGGTTGAATGGTTAGATGTAAAATTGTATCATTTTGCCTTAATTACCAGATTGTACTTTATTAAAATTCTTGGTCAAATATCAGGAAATGTTTATCTCCAATTTCATATGCCACAAAACTTCCAGAAGTTACGACATTTCGCCTGCATTGAGGTTGTTTATAATGAGTCACTCTTGTTTCTATCAAACTCAAGAGTAAGCTGCTGTTGAGCTTGTGCATAACATACTTGGTGACAGGACCACTGGTTGGGGGAGACTACAGGGAGCCACAGACTTTGGCTGTCCTCCTGGGCAGAAGATACAGAAGCATGATTAGTCGCACCAACAGGGTAAAGAACAGCTTCTATCCGTGGGCTGTTAGGCTGCTGAAAGAAAAGATAACAGGGCAACTGACTTTCGGGTTTGGTGGGTGTGCGTCAGTAAACGAGGGGCATCAAGACTAAGAGCTGAGTGCAGGGTGCTCATGTAATCTCACTGTATACAAGTTGTACAAGTGACAAAGTATTTCATTCAAAAGATTTCTGCATTGCAGGGGATTGAACTAGATGATCCCAGTGGTTCCTTCCAACTCTACAAATCTGATACATGGTGTCTCTGTCCATAAGCAAACAAAAAACATAAAAACTCCACCAAAACAATTGCTCTCTTACTTTAAACTAAATGAGATTTACCGTATTTTTCGCCCTATAGGACGCACTTTTCACCCTCCAAAAATGAAGGGGAAATGTGTGTGCGTCTTATGGGGCGAATGCAGGCTTTTGCTGAAGCCAGGAGAGCGAGAGGGGTCGGTGCGCACCGACCCCTCTCGCTCTCCAGGCTTCAGGAAGCTATCCGCAAGCCTTGCGAGCCCGGGGGAGTTCCCGCGGGCTCGCAAGGCTTGCGGGCTGCAGCACTGGGCGCCCTCCGGAGGACGCCCCTTGCTTCGGGCAGGTGTCCGCAAGCCTCCCATGCCCAGCGGGAGGTCCCACCAGGCGTGCAAGGCTTGGGGCGGCAGCCTGCATCCCGAAGCATGGGGCACCCTCCAGAGGACACCCCGTACTTTGGGAAGGTGTCAGCAAGCCTCACGCGCCCGGCGGGAGGTCCCGCCGGGCGTGCAAGGCTTGGGGCGGCAGCCTGTTCTGGGGTCGGGGGAAGCTCGGGCTTCCCCCACGCCAGCCCCGCACCTGGGGGGGGGGAATAATTTTTTTTCTCCCCCCCCCCACAAAAAAGCTAGGTGCGTCCTATGGGGCGAAAAATACGGTAATCTGCCAAATAGGAATGTACTTTAAAAAGGAGTCGATTTTCTGCATTTGCCTTAGTTATTTTAGGGCAAGCTCTTAGCCATGTTGTTCCTCTCATTTAGTTAGGTTCCAGCTTTACCTATGTTTGCTGCCCTCTCCCGACATATCTACCCCAGCCATTTGCACACAGAGAGAAAATCCAGTGACTTCACAAGCAGTATAAATATCATTTAATTTAAAAAGTCATGTCAAATTTTACCAAAAAGGAACAGGTTTTTTTCTGTTTACATCTGATATACACTGATTTAAAGGAGTACATATTATACTTGTAGAAAACTGTACATATATATATATACAAGACAAGCCAGTGTACAGACCAGAGTGGGGGTGAGGCACGGGGAGGTAAGAATATTGCAATCACAATAAATATTCAGTCCTGAGACAGAATGAGAGCCAAAGAGACTTCTGTGAAAATGATCAGAAGGCACTAAAAGCTTTACCTTCCCCATTGCAAAAAAAAATGAGATGGGGTAGTTTATTGCTACTGACTAGTAGAGCTACATCTCCCTCTTCAAACTTATCCCTGAGAGTATGTTTCTCATGCTGGTTATGCTGCTTTCTGTGATGGTTTCCCCGCATGAAAGAGATGAGGGATCCTTTGAATATCATGTCCTTTTTGAGTCTCATGAGAAGTAAATAATACTCATTTGGCCAAGATCAGGTATACAGTGAAGTGGGCCACTGCATGGAGTATTGCTTCTACCACAGATTGTCATTTTTGCTTTAATGCCAACAACTGGAAAGCAGATTTCATTGAGATGCCAGAGTTATTTCCCTAACTAATTTGTTCAAGGATGAGATTTTCTCTTCCAGTATTAAATTTCTGTTGTCTGTGTTCTTCTGCCTCTGTTCTGTAACCTGCAGAGTTTTCATCAGCTGTGCATTTTCCACATACAGGTCTTTCAGTAATAGATTTGACTTGGCATTTTTTTCAAACTGGAAAATAAAATGAATAGCGCTCCATTAATCTGTGTTTGGTGATGATACAGAACTCAAAAACATGCTGCTTACTGTTTTGCTAGAAAAGCAGTCTCATGAATATTAACTAGGAAATAAGCAAGTGCTATGGTCCACTGGTTTTAAGTTTTAGCAACAGGTTTAAAGCAGGCTAACCTATGATGCTCTATGATATTTGACTACAACTCCCATCAGTCCCAGCCAGCGTGGCCATGGATTATGGGAGTTGTGGTTCAAAAGCATGGAGGGGAGGGCCACTGGTTAGCTGCCCCTGCTTTGAACAATTGCTTTTATATCAAGACCTTAGGAGGTAACCACCATTCTCCCTCATTCCCAGAATGTAGCCCATCTTAAACAGAAAATATGAACCAGTGCAAACATAGGGACAATCGCATCTTTAATTAAAAGGATGGTTCTTAAAACATTCTTGTTTCGACAAGAAAGTTGTGGTAATTTTAATGTGTTGGTGTTTTAACTTTTGTACACTTAGGTATGGTGATTTTTTTCTTGATTTGACTTTTCTGTAACCCACTTTGAGAGTGTTCTTTTTCTATCAAATTAAGCGGAATATAAATTTTATGAAATAAATTCATCATCATCACCACCATCATCAAACATTGATCCATAATAGTAATCTATTTGGAAGTAGCAATATGACGAATTTAGAATAATCCCTTTTCATCCATCTTCCCTCTGTTAAAAAAATAACAATTTATGTCAGCACATTTCCCATTCCCTTCGTGTTTTGACCTTGGAATAATTAGTCAATGTACAAACTGTCCAGAATAACAGCTTTGCTATAAATCCAAACTGGAAAAGTTTAGAACAATCACAGATCCAGTGCTAGCTTGAAGATGTGTTCTACGAATGGCTATAGATAGCCTGTTCTAGTATTGTGTCCTACCAAACCTGCCCGGGAAAGGGGGTAGCTGTTCTTTTGTCTTTCCATATACTGTAGCCAGAAGAGCACTGACTGATGGGGCCACAGCTTATACCAAGAGTAGAGAACCCTGGATTTTGCCATATGGGGCTTTTATGTGTTGCCTACAAGCCAAGCAGCTTGCAGTTCACACAGTGTGCAGGACACTTACAAATGACTGGAGAGGACCAGAAGCTATAGCAACCATGAAACAGGGTCACTCATATAATATATATATGAAAAGCATTCAGTGCCAAATACATTGACAATTCAGGACACATCTTGGTGGTCTCCTGGCCATTTTTGGCCAGCTTATGTCCTTTTCCAGACAAATTATATACTTTTATATTTAATAAAAGAATTAATGCTGTAAACAGATCATGGGCCCACAGACCACCTAATCCCCATTCCACTGACCTGCTCCTTGAGTTCAGCCACCTTTTCCTGAAGCATTGTTTGCACGTTCTTCAAATTCATCTCCAGTTCTCCCACCTTTTCCTCCATTAATCTATGCAAGTTCTCATGCTCTTCCTGCAAAATAAAAGGACGAAGTCATAGCGGTGATATTACAACAGTTACGGGAAATAACTACCCTTGGGAAGTCAATTCACTTCAAACAAGTCCCAACGTTGCTTCTGAAATAACAATTTATTATCTCGGAATCTCTCTTCTTGTAACTTAAAATTCACTGGTTCAGGTCCTACCCTCTAGAGCAGGAGAAAACAAGCTCAATCCATCTACCATGTGATATTTCCTTTAGATATCCAAAGATGGCTACCGTTCTCTCAGTCTCCTATCCAGGCTAAACATACCCAACTCCCTCAACTATTCCTCATAAGGGTTGGTTTCAGACCATTTATATCATCTTGATTGCCCTCTGCAACCGTTCTAGATTGTCCATAATCTTATATCATGGCATCCACATAGTACTTCAGGTGTGGTCTGACCAAGGCAGAATAGAGCTCATTCTCAAACACAATCCACAAATTATCCCAGATGTATATTGGTACTCTCTGTGCTGTCTGCAGCCAAGCCTTTACATAATGCAGGTACAGTGGTACCTCGGGTAAAGTACTTAATTTGTTCCGGAGGTCCATTCTTAACCTGAAACTATTCTTAACCTGAAGCACTACTTTAGCTAATGGGGCCTCCCGCTGCCACCGCACCGCCGGAGCACAATTTCTGTTCTCATCCTGAAGCAAAGTTCTTAACCTGAAGCACTATTTCTGGGTTAGCGGAGTCTGTAACCTGAAGCGTATGTAACCCAAGGTACCACTGTATTTTATTCAGAGTTAAGAGCCCACTTTTCACTAGGATATAACTTTCCCAGCACAGTATTTTACATGCAGCGTTGCCTCAGATACTTAACTGCATCTGGTGCTCCTGCACCAATAGCAAAAGGAGGCTTGTAAAAGTCACAGAATTTTGCTTAATGTGCTGGATCTATTCTTCCCTACCTGATATGTGGCCGCCTGCCATCTCATCTGCTTCGCCTGGGAGTCCAGCTCTCCTTGCAGCTGCCTAACCACATTCTGTTCTTCTGCCAATCTCTTTTCTAGCTCTGCAAGGCAGGCCTTAGGTACGGAATTGCCTGCCTGGCCCTTTAACTCTTCTAGCTCCCGTGAATGCTGAAACTTGGCCAGGCTCAAGCTCGTGTTAGCTTCTAGTAGCTGCAATGCAAGAGAAAATTAAAAACATCATTAAAAGTTGAAATGCTATAGGCCAGGAACAGAGCACCTTTCTTGGACTGAGCGTTGGGGGAAACTCAGGGGCTGCATTCTAATAGTGGGTAGGAACAAACCCCACCACAAAGCTATTTCCCATAAAAGCACAACAAAGCCCTTTCCACTCCCTACTTAATAGCTGATGGCTGGGCCCCAGTAGCACACAGAGAACTGAAATACTCCACAGTCCATTTAAAGGTTATTTCTCATCAGATCAATTCAAAATAAAATAGTGGTACTAATCCACTACTAATTCTCTTGGAGAATCTAGAAGCCAGAATTTATTTATTTTTTGCAATGTATATCCAAACGTAGGCAAAACAGGCTGTCAGGGGCTCAGGAGCAGAGGCACAGGAAAGGGAGGAAATAGAGAGCGAGGGGGAGGAATCCGAAGGAAATGTTAGCGATGACAGCCGTCCGAGGTCTCTGAGTCTCTCCAGCGAATCGGAGGATTCACAGAAAGGGGCTCCCGTGGTCAGAGCAAGGGGGTTGCCTAGGGGGACACCCCAGGAAGGAGGGGCCAGAGGGGACTCAGAGAGCAGCAGTTGGAAATCAGGACCAGCTTCTCCACCAAAGCGCAGTAGGGGGAGGAGTCCCAGGTATCGGGATCAGGCGGCTCTCCGCCAGCGGGAGGACATGAGTCAGGATTGGCCACGCCTCCATCGGAGAGCGAGGAAACGGTCAAAAGGAAGGTCGGAGACTGGGCGCGCGCGCCAAGTTCAAATGTACAAGAGGGCGGCGCAGTTGGCAGCCCGGATAGGGAGCCAGGTCCTAAAGCCCGCCGAAAGGAGGGAGAAGAGTCAGGGGGGTCAGCGTCAGAAGAGTCCAGGAAGGAAGGGACCCCGGGGGGTAGTAGGACCCAGAGGAGAAAGGAGAGACGTAAGAGGTGGAGTAAGGTTAGAGTCTTAAACTGGTGTACAGGGGGCGGAGACTCAGATGGAGCTTCGCCGGTCTAGCTTCTAGACGTAGAGCTGCGCGCTGCGGCTTGAAAATGGAAACTGTACTTCAATAAAGACTTTTGTACATTACTACCGGCTAGCGTTGGTCCTCTGTGAGCTGGGACCTGGAGGCAGTCTCTGACACAGGCGAACTCCAGTAGAAACTGCCCTGGTCCTTTTTGCTTTTGCAGAGTAAGAAGTGCACAACCAGGGTCAGTGAATTCATCTAGCTCTGTTTTTCTTTAAAGTTGTAAAACAGCAACACTGCTATCCCGCTACAACAATCCTCCCCTCAAATCTATGACATTCGGACTAGATCTTCTCTTAGGTTTAATGTTTGGACACATTTCTTTGACCAGGTGTAAAGGCTCCAGGCCTGCTCCTCTGTCCAACCAGGGGCATACACTTCACCGCTGTTTCAGCCGTGCCTAGGCCCTCATTTGTAACAGACAGTGATGCTCCCAGTGAGCCAAAGGCAGGCCATATTCAGCTGCACCAACCTACCCGATCCTGGCATTCCTCCACCTCTTCTCTCAGCTGTGCTTTTGTTAGCCGTAGCATCTGACACTCCTGTGTCAAACGTTCCAGTTCAGCCTCCAGCTCCTGAGACTGGCTGGCCTGTTCAAGGAGAGAATGGCAGGAAAGGATGAGGCCAGCAACAATGTGGAATCTTTCAGTAATAAATAATAACAATAAAAACATTTTTTTGTTTATATAGCGCCCTCCCCAGCCGAAGCTGGGCTCAGAGCGGCTAACAACAATAAAAGTAACACAGCATTCTAAAATCAATTCATTCTAAAATCAATTCAAAATCAAATTAACGGCAACCATTGGGCTAGAGTTCTGTGAGGATTACCAAAGGAGGGAGTCAGGCTGTGCCTTGGCCAAAGGCCTGGTGGAACAGCTCTGACTTGCAGGCCCTGTGGAAAGATGTCAAGTCCCGCAGGGCCCTAGTCTCTTGTGACAGATCGTTCCACCAGATCGGGGCCACAATCGAAAAGCCCTGGCTCTGGTTGAGGCCAGCCTAACCTCCCTGTGGCCCGGGACCTCCAAGATGCTTTTGTTTGAAGACTGTAAGGTCCTCAGTGGGACACAGCATACTCAAGACACAAATCCTCTTGGTACACGCCTGCTTTCTTGTGTGTGTGTTTCAGGGAATATAGGAGCTTTGGAAGTGTTTTTGAGCATCCCTAGGTTTTTCCTTCTGTGAAAGGGGTATTTCGAGGTACCTGTGATGATTTGTTAGATTCCCAGGTGTGTCCTTGGGCCCAAAAAGGTTAGGGATGCTTGATTTCGTATTTATCCCTGCAAACCCAAACCCTATGTGTGACCATTGTAGTCTTCCTCCCATATGCCTAGAATGACGCTCTTTCTAAATTCCATTGCATTAATAAATTCACTTGGCAAACAAGTCAACCCAATTACACTCCAATATCCGCAGACTTGCTCTTTGGGGCTGTTTGTGGGCAGCCCATTTCTCCCTTTTATTACTCCCAGAAAATAATTGCCACTAGTCATGGGCTAGCAGTACACAGCCGAGAGATCATAAGCGTGCTCAGATAGTTTATAATTTAAACAAAGTGCGCTGCAAAAAGCAGTATGGGAGAATTTTCATTGTTAAGGCTCCTTTTGAAAGTACTACTCTTCCTCCGTTCAGCAATTCTATTCTTTATTTTATATAACAGAATGTGCCTACTGCTTGATTGTAAATAAAGCCTCTGAGCAGTTTATACAAGGAATACAAAATACAAACTTTAGTTTTAGTTCTAGTAGAGGAAGGAAGTATCGTATTTTTCGCCCTATGGGACGCACTTTTCCCCCTCCAAAAATGAAGGGGAAATGTGTGTGCGTCCTATGGGGCGATTGCAGGCTTTCGCTGAAGCCTGGAGAGCGACGGGTCGGTGCGCACCAACCCCTCTCGCTCTCCAGGCTTCAGGAAGCTATCCGCAAGCCTTGGGAGCCCGCAGGAGTTCCCGCCGGGCTCCCATGGCTTGCGGAGAGCTGCCTGCATCCCAAAGCCTGGGGCGCGCTGAGCTCAGCGCGCCCCAGGCTTTGGGCTTCGCACAGCTCTCCGCAAGCCGTGGGAGCCCGGCACGACTTCGCACTGGGCTCCCACGGCTTGCGGAGAGCTGCCTGCATCCCTGCGGATAGCAGCCTGTTCTGGGGGCTGGGGTCGGGGGAAGCTCGGACTTCCCCCGCCCCATCCCCACACCTGGGGGGGAAATAAAAAATTTTTTCTTTATCCCCCCCCAAAAAAAACTAGGTGCGCCCTATGGGCCGGTGCGCCCTATGGGGCAAAACATACGGTAAATGCAAAGCGCTGCAGAATTTTCACCCGTCTTCTCCTAGAAGGCAACATATTTTAAACTATTTCCTTTGCCTAAACACAGCAACTCAATGACCACCACAGCAACCCAAGCTTTCCATCAATGTAAAAAGCAGTGCATCCCTGTATCCATGGTCCACGCATTAGGCCTTAGAAATTTCCACCAGAATATTGCATGGCTGGCTCAGCATTATAGGTGGGTTTGTGCAGTGGAACATGGCAGCCTGGAACTGATGTGCCCCTTCCTCCCCGTTCCGATCAGCCTTACCTTTTCCCTCCAGGCCTTCAGCTGCTGCTCCAGCAGGGCCTTCTCTCCCTGCCATGCCAACCGCTCCTGAAGATGCTCCTTTGTCAATTCAGCAGAGGTCTCTTGAAATTGCCTGGCAACCGCAGCTTCGTGGTCCCTTTGGCTCTCCAGCTCGACAAGCCTCCGATTCAGTAAATTGACGGTGTTCCGGCTGACATTGTTATCACTGCTCAGTTCAGAGAGTTCATGGCTCAGCTGATCTATCCTGGTGTTTAACTGGAAGATTTCCACCTCGTAGTGTTTATTCTAAAGAGGCATTTCAGACATTCAGAGCTGCAGCATTCATCCCACCCAGGGGAAAACATCTTAACATCTAATCTTGAGTACTGCATCAGGGGGTGTCTCATATTGCTTGCCCGCAAAGAATGGGTGCTGGGGTCTTCTCCCCGTTTTTTGGAGCAGTATCACACTAGTGTACATTTCTTAACAAGGGTGGCGGAAGTGAAGAAATGCCTTTTCCCGGGATGAAAGGGCTGGTTTGTTTGATGGTTGAATTGCTGGAGCTACGGCAGGAAGAGCAAAAGGGGGCACTGCCAGAGCAACCCATGACTGACTCCAACGTTACACGTACATTGTTAAAGGCACATGTACTAGAAAGATTCAAAAGGTTGCAAAAGAACTCAACCCCTAATGAATTAGCGTTTAACTCTTTGCAAGGTGGGACAGTGTATGGTTTTGGCACTTGGAAATCCTTGGGCAAAATTGGTGTCCATCAGCCTAACCTTGCATGGACGAAGTTAGAAGGATTGTAAAGCATTTAAACATTGGAAAGAGGATATAGAAATTTAATCTCTTGTGTCTCCAGATGGGGTTGAAACCCTGTCCTCTGCCTGAAACCCCGAAGAGCCAGCTGCCAGTCAGTGTAAACAATACTGAGATACATAGACAGCCTTTACCAAAGGTGCCATGGGCTTTGAAGACACTCGAACTCAGGATGCCAGGGAGAAACGTGCAAAGAGGAAGGCACGTTTGGCAAATCCACACTGTGATCAACTCCCGCCTGGAAACCTATGTCACCACTGTGGAAGGACGTGTGGATCCAGAATTGGCCTCCACAGTTACTTATGGACTCATTGTTAAAATCATGTTTATGGAAGACAATCTTACTCAGCTATGAGTGACTGCCGAAGAAGAAGACATAGACTAATGGCCTGACTTGGTATAAGGTTGTGTTTTTTATGACTGGTAGCAGCTTTCCAGGGTTTTAGGAAGAGCTTCCCCCATCCCTCACCTGCTAGTAGATCATTTTATCAAAATCCCAGAACTGGGTCTTATGTAAAGGCATATCTAATTGTACTTTTCTCTCTCTCTCTCTCTCTCTCTCTATATATATATATATATATATATATATAATTTACCAGTTGATTTAATTCTTCTATTCCACGCATCACCTTCTCTTTTTCCACCATCAATTCATCGATATGTTTTCTGAAGAAAGAAGAGGAAACAATTTAAATTGTGCAACCATTTAAACATATTTTGCATAGATTCTAAAACGGGAGCAGGAAACACGCTGCCGCAAGTCACAGCTGATGTTTCACTATTGTTTGCAACATCAGTGCAAGTGGCTTGCAAAGAAAAAGGGGAAACGCAGCTTCAGAAAATGTGTTATGTTGGTCCTCAACTCACAAGCATCTTGAAATTTTTTTTTAAAAAAAAATAATATTAATAGTAGGTCTGCTAAAAGCAAAGCTGTTTTTCATAGCAGCTGGATCTAGCCCTCTTATTCATTGTCCTCCCACCATGTCTATGTACAGATTTAAGATGGCAGCTCTAAGAACCAGACTGGAAATTATTGTATGTGTATTCATACAACGCTATAACTGAGCATCCCGTCAGGTACACTGGAGCACACACTTCAGTGCACTGATGCAGCCACATTCTGAGGGCTCGCTGTGCGCGGCTAGACCCTCTCGCCAATATTTCTGTTTAAAATTACACAATCCTTTTTTTCAACGAGTTGCCTCTTGGGAAGACGTATGGTTTCACATTTACAGTTCCTCTGCAAGCTTCCCAAAGAACCGCCCCCCCCCACCCTTTTAACCTGTGCTTTCTGTTTGCTTCACCAACATCCTCCACTTCTTGCTGAAATCTTCCAAGTTTATTTTTTAGGATGAGGTTGTCTTCTGAAACGCTGTGGAGCTCAATTCTGCATCATGGGAGAGAGAAAAAGTATTGAAGGACCGGAGTTAGTTTGGGGATGTTAAAGAAATCAGGCAACTGGATTAGCCATACTCAGCTAAGTGTCATCAAAATAAATATGTCTGAGAACAGGCAGTGGAACTGTACAATCCCCTAAAAGAGAAGCGTTTTTATAAAAATCTTATTATACGCAATGCTTTTAAAAGTAGCTGCTTCCAAATGTGCTGTTTATACCCACTTACATCACAGAAATCAAAGAGAACATTTGATGGATGGATGTTATTCATATTATTCCATTACACCACTTGCTCAGTAAGGGTCAAACTACACCAGGTGTTAAAGGTAAATAGTAAAGGAACCCTGGACAGTTAAGTCCAGTCAAAGGTGACTATGGGGTTGCGGCATTCTTCGGACCAAGGGAGCCAGAGTTTGTCCACAGGCAGCTTTCCAGTTCATGTGGCCAGCATGACTAAATAGCTTCTGGCACAACGGAACACCGTGACGGAAACCAGAGCACATGGAAACACCGTTTACCTTCCTGCTGCTCTGCTTATTTACTCACACTGGTATGCTTTCAAACTGCTAGGTTGACAGGAGCTGGGACAGAGCAATGGGAGTTCACCCCATTGTGGGGATTCAAACTGCCGACCTTCTGATCAACAAGCCCAAGAGGCTCAGTGGTTTAGACCAGTGTTTCCCAACCGGTGTTCCGCGGCACACTAGTGTGCCGCGAGACGTTGCCTGGTGTGCCGTGGGAGGGAGGCGGGCGAGTCGGGCGACGAGAGGCGGGGCAGCGGCGGCGAGGAGAGGCCGCCCAGCGCGGGGCTCTTGCCGTCTGCCTGCCTGGCTGCCTGCGTGGCGCTGACGTCACGGGACTGTAACGTGCCCCACATAGGCCATGCCCACATAGGACCATGCCCCGATGCCGGGCGGCAGCGCTGCCGCTGCTTGCGGAGAGGTCCGCGAAGCCTGGGCGCGCTGATCTCGGCGCGCCCAGGCTTCGGCATGCCGGCATCTCTCCGCAAGCAGCGGCAGCGCTGCCGCTGCTTGCGGAGAGGTCCGCAAAGCCTGGGCGCGCTGATCTCGGCGCGCCCAGGCTTCGGCATGCCGGCATCTCTCCGCAAGCAGCGGCAGCGCTGCCGCTGCTTGCGGAGAGGTCCGCGAAGCCTGGGCGCGCTGATCTCGGCGCGCCCAGGCTTCGGCATGCCGGCATCTCTCCGCAAGCAGCGGCAGCGCTGCCGCTGCTTGCGGAGAGGTCCGCGAAGCCTGGGCGCGCTGATCTCGGCGCGCCCAGGCTTCGGCATGCCGGCAACTCTCCGCAAGCAGCGGCAGCGCTGCCGCTGCTTGCGGAGAGGTCCGCGAAGCCTGGGCGCGCTGATCTCGGCGCGCCCAGGCTTCGGCATGCCGGCAACTCTCCGCAAGCAGCGGCAGCTTGCTGCTTGCGGAGAGGTCCGCGAAGCCTGGGCGGACAGCTTTTGAAGGCAGGGGGGGAGCAAAGACTTTCGCCCCCCGCCAGCCTTCAGAAGAGGTCGGGGGACAGACTGTCCCCGGACCTGGTCTGAAGGCGGTTTCCCTAGGAACGCATTAATTGATTTTCAATGCATTCCTATGGGAAACCGTGCATCGCAAGACGAAAAACTCGCAAGACGAAGAGACTTGCGGAACGAATTAATTTCGTCTTGCGAGGCACCACTGTAGTCAATATAGGCACAGAGTTAATTTTTTAAACATTTTCTAATGGTGGTGTGCCTCGAGATTTTTTTCATGAAACAAGTGTGCCTTTGCCCAAAAAAGGTTGGGAAACACTGGTTTAGACCACAGTGCCACCCATGTTAAATGTCAAGTGTTAAATGTGTGCAAGCACTACATATCCACATTTTATTCTTTGAATGGCAGCTGATGGGTGGGTGGGGTTAACCCTTTCTCTGTGTGCTATGGACTTGCCAAACATCCCTCCTGAAACTACTGGCTCCCGGGTTTTGCTACTTACTTATCCTGTTCACAGGCAGTCTATGACTTCTTTCTTCTATGACACAAAACTAGAGCTGTATGCTATAGCACGGGACACACAAACTTGATCTCAAGTCACTATGAGAATAGTAGTTGTGACCCAGAGATCTAAAGTGCCCCATAAAGGAACACATGCTCTGTTCTCTTTGACGTCAGGCATGTTTCGTGTAGTTGCATCTATTGAGCATCCCTCGCAGAAGAAAATGCATCCACGCACACCAACACACGAGAACTGAAAGGCTGCATACACATCACACATTTAAAGCACACACACCTCAAATCCTGCAAACCATTGTTTGTTGTGCATACAGTCAGAGTCTGAATTAATGCACACTATGGAACAGAATTTCTATGGGAAGATGGATCACCTCTGCTATAAAACGTAGCATGTGAACAAGCCCAAAAGTAATAAGCATGCATGCCACGGTTAGTTAAATCATTTTAAAAAGATGAGTGCATTTTTATAGAAGAACCATACATTTCATAGAACAGTAGCTGTGAAACAGCATATTAGCAATACAGTGGTGCCTTGCAAGACGAAAATAATCCATTCCGCGAGTCTTGTGAAGCAACCCTATTAGCGGATTAGCGCTATTAGCGGCTTTTAAAGGCTTAACGGCTAAAAGGCTATTAGTGGCTTAGCGGCTTAGAAAAAGGGGGGAGCGAAAAAAATCGCAAGACGTTTCCGTCTTGCGAAGCAAGCCCATAGGGAAAATCGTCTTGCGAAGCGCATCGAAAAACGGAAAACCCTTTCGTCTAGCAGGTTTTTCATCTTGCGAGGCATTCGTCTTGCGGGGCACCACTGTAATAGCATTTAGCAGGCACATAGAGAGCCATTCCAGAGACAGTGTGCCAGCAAGCCAGATGCTTCATGGCAAAAAATGTCACAATTCCCCAAAAGTGAGACGGGAATTGGACCGGGTACCATACAACCGCATTGGTGAGAAAGGCTTTTGCCTAAATTACCAAGGGTTCAACCATAACACAAAGAAGCAGAATATGAGACTACCATTTATATTGCCAAGTGCCCCTGTTTCAAAACGGTAATGTCACCAGACCTCATGAAATGTGTCTCAGCCTCATGCTTCATCTTCATGTCTTCTTCCAGTCTGTCCCTTTCCTGGGCCAGTCTCTGTCCCAAAATGGAAATCTCTTTGGCATAGTACTGCTCCATTTCTGACCTCTCCTTCTCAAAGCTCCTCTTGAGTTCTTGGGTGGGAGCTAGTTTCTGAAGCTGGTCTTTCAAGCCATCTATCACCTCCTGGCATTTGGCGTTCAGCTCTTCCAAATCGCTCTTCTGTTCCTCCAATTCGCTGATCTCAATCTTAAAACCTTGTTCAACATCCTTCCTTTCCTTCTCAAAGTTCCTTTTCATCAGCTCAATTTCTCTTTCGTAGTAATTGACCTAGCGCAGTAAAACCAAACCAAACTTTTGTTATGCATTCTTTAGGTAGCATGGTTAATACATGCACAAACCAGTCAAGAGTCCTTACTTCATGTTTAACAACTTGAGCTAGAAGCCTAGGCATTTCAAGAGGGTAGGATTTTTATACAGAACGAGAGCATTTAACAGCAGGAAATTTTGTGTAAAGATTTATTACTCCATACAGACTTACTCCATTCATACAGAACTAACTTGTCATCCACAGTTGAACCAAGCCCAGCCTTTTCTACAAACAGCCATAATATGCCATCCCACATTCTCCTAATTTACATTGGCGATGAGATACTTAATTTACAAGAGCAATGGAGAAAAGTGCCACAAAAAACCCAAAATATTTCATTATCATAAATGAGTTTACATCTATAAAAAAAAATACTTAAAATGCTGAGTTACCGTATTTTTCGCCCTATAGGACGCACTTTTTCCCCTCCAAAAATGAAGGGGAAATGTGTGTGCGTCCTATGGGGCGAATGCAGGCTTTCGCTGAAGCATGAAGAGCGAGAGGGGTCGGTGCGCACCGGCCCCTCTCGCTCTCCAGGCTTCAGGAGACCCCGCCACCAGCCCCGCAAGCTCCGGGGACAGTGGGGAGGCGCAGCGCGTCTTCCCGCTGTCCCCGGAACTGATCTGAAGGCGGGTGGCGGGGAGAAGAGCGCTTCTCCCCGCTGCCTGCACCGCAAGCTCCAGGGACAGCTGGGAGATGCAGCGCGTCTTCCTGCTGTCACCGGACCTGATCTCAAGGCGGGCGGCAGGGAGAAGAGCGCTTCTCCCCGCTGCCTGCCCCACAAGCTCCGGGGACAGCTGGGAGACGCAGCGCATCTTCCCGCTGTCCCCGGACCTGGTCTGAAGGCGGGCTGCAGGGAGAAGAGTGCTTCTCCCCGCTGCCGGCCCCACAAGCGCCTGGGGGGGAAATACATTTTTTTTTCTTTATTTCCCCCCAAAAAAACTTGATGCGTCCTATGGGCCGGTGCGTCCTATGGGGCGAAAAATACGGTATTTTAATTTTAACACCAAAAGCTACATCATCTGGTCAACATACTCAAAGGTATCCTGCTGAGCAAGTAGAAGAAGAAGAGTTTGGATTTGATATCCCGCCTTTCACTCCCTTTAAGGAGTCTCAAAGCGGCTAACATTCTCCTTTCCCTTCCTCCCCCACAACAAACACTCTGTGAGGTGAGTGGGGCTGAGAGACTTCAAAGAAGTGTGACTAGCCCAAGGTCACCCAGCAGCTGCATGTAACCCAAAGACTGCATTCAGAAATATATTGAGAGTCTACTGATTCTGATGACGATTTTTAACTTGAACACAAATTGGCGTTTAAACACCTGCCTGTGTCTTCCTCCTCGACTCACCTTGGTTTCCAGCTGTATTTTCAGGTCTTGATGCTGTTCCTTCAGTTCTTCAACCAGAAGCTCCATTTCTATGCTTACTGAATAGGGACCGGATTCAATGAAAACGACACCTATAAATAAAATTATTCTTGAAAGAAAGGAAAAGAACAGGCCCAAGAATGCAGAATCGTGGAGGATAAAACTACTTCTACAGGATGACCATGTCTCTATGGATGGATGAAGCATGTTTCTCAGTTGCTGGAAACCGCAGGAACAGAGAATGCTACTGAACTCAGGTCCTGTTTGCAAACTGCCAATAGGCATGTGGTTGGTCACTGTGAGAAAAGGATATTGAGCTAGATGGACCAATGGCCTGATCCAGCGGGCTCCTCCTTTGTTCTTAGAACACTGAGGAAACAAACTGCCAAGATTGATCATCTATCTGGGGTGTGGTCACAGTATTACATAGGGAGCATGGGAAGGGGAACGAGAGCGCAATGGTTCGAAGCTGTATGCTCTACATATAGAGGATTTAACCTCCTTCAGTCAGGCCTGTAAGACAGAGCTATTCCGCCTGGCCTTCAATTTGAATTCAGCCTGATCTTTTATTTCCCTTCTCTTCTCTTCCCCCCCTCCCTTTTTATGAAGATTATTCGCTCTGGGATCCCACAGCTAATTCTCCCCTGGTCTCCTCGCTGGCCCAAGTAGGACCAATTCAACCAGCTAGCCTTGGGGATTATCTAATGCTTATTTCCCCTAAATTGATTTTTGAATTTTATTGTTCTTCATGTTTTTATACTGTATTTTATGCTGCTTTTATAATTGTTTTAAAGTTGTTGCTAGCCGCCCTGAGCCCGGTTTTTGAACCGGGAAGGGCAGGGTATAAATAAAAAAATTATTTATATTTATATTATTTATAAATATGCACCATGGTGATTGAATAACTTAAAATGTGGGCCCGTTATCAGAACTAGTTACTGACACACTGGAAAGGTTTCAGAGTCTAGACGGCTCAGTGCCACAAGGACCGCCTCTTTCCATATGAACCTACCAGGACCCTGAGATCACCTTCTGAGGCCCTCCTTCGTGTGCCTCCTCCTGTAGAGGTCCAGAGGGTGGTAACACGAGAACAGGCCTTCTCTGCAGTGGCTCCCTGTCTGGAATGCTCTCCCGAGGGACGTTAGCCTGGTGCCTTCATTATACACCATTAGACACCAGGCAAAAACACTACTTTTTAAGCAGGCATTTGGTTGATCTGTACCCTTTTAAAATGTGGCTCTTTCGGGAGGGGTGTTATTGAGTTATTGTTCCTATTTTGATTTTATATGTTGTGATCCTTTCTGTGAACCACCCTGAGACCTCTGGGTATACGGCAGTATATAAATTCAACTAGAAAATAAAAAATGATAACAGTTTAGAAGCATAGCTGTCAACGTTTCCCTTTTTTTAAGGGAAATTCCCTTATTCCAAATAGGATTCCTGGCAAGAAAAGGGAAAAGTTGACAGCTATGTTTAGAAGAGCCACAGGTCACATAGGTCATGCATACCTATTAAAAAAAAAAAAAAAACAAAGGAAAACACACACACATGCTTAAAATGCATGTTATACAGGTACACTTTCTGGGAATGTGGGATTAATCATAACACCTCAGGCAACAAATCTTACAAGTCTTGAAGGGCTAAGATATTAAAAACAACAGAGGTAACTGTTTCAGCTGTCTGGGGGAGAAACGTGATACATTATTCTTTTAATACGCACTGGATAAAAGAGCTGTGGGTTGAAATTACAGACCACGACACCTGCAGCTGAAACATTTGGGGAAATATCTGTAGCCCTTGAAGAAGCTGCCTGGGAATCTTCGTATCTGGAGGTTATCCAGAAGAAACTGGACAGGTTTGTCAAGAGATGCTTTTGATACTGGATACTGTACCGCCCACGGCACGGGGGGTGGGGGGTGGATTAGGTTTCTCTTGAAGAGTTCTAGAGCTGGCATGTATCTTAACGCTTACTCCTTCTTAGAAAATGCACACAGCTTGGAATATTTCTTACCGTTTTGGCCTGTGACCGGAAAGTGCTGGTGTCCAAGGAGTTCCTCATCTTTTTGTATGGTGTCTTCAAAGAAAGAAAAAGGTACACATTATGACGGAAGGAGTTCTTCAAAGATTTGGTATAGCAGAAGGGAAAAGGCAGAGAGGACCTTGTGTACCACAATTTGCTTTTAGATGTTTTCATTGCTGTATTTTAAATTGTTATGACCCCCTCTAGGACCTTAGGGTCAAGGGTGGGTAATAAATCAAATCATCAGCAACAGCAACAACTTGCCCTTCTGGTGCAAGAGAGAAGAGTGGATGCAAGGACCATTGTGCCAGAATGATGCGTATATAACATCAGAGCAGTGTATCAGGATACTCAGTAGAGCCCCCCCCCCCAAAAAAAAACCCTTTGAATCATACAAGCACACTAGGGCACACAGCTGATATGGGGAGAAAAGGGTACATAGCATGAAAAGGGCTGAAAATTTTAAAAGGCGACTTTCCCCATGCTAATAGGACCTGGATACAACACTGTGGACATAAATACCAAGTGCCAAGGCTCAACAGTCCCCCCAGGACATAAGATTTTTTTAAAGGGCAAGGAAAAGGCTACAGCAACATAATGAGGCACATCGACAGACCCCCCCCCACTGAGAGCCGCACATCTATACAGTGGTGCCTCGCAAGACGAAATTAATCCGTTCCGCGAGTCTCTTCGTATTGCGGTTTTTTCGTCTTGCGAAGCACGGCTATTAGCGGCTTAGCGGCTATTAACGGCTTAGCGGCTTTAAGAAAAAGGAAACAAACTCGCAAGAACTCGCAAGACGTTTCGTCTTGCGAAGCAAGCCCATAGGGAAATTCGTCTTGCGGAACGACTCAAAAAACGGAAAACCCTTTCGTCTAGCGAGTTTTTCGTCTTGCGAGGCATTCGTCTTGCGGGGCACCACTGTATAGAGAAGGAAACAAAGCTGGTTTTTGGCAAATCAAACAAAAAAAAAAGCCTAAAGGGTGAAATATGAACAAAGCAGGGATAACTTATGTTTAATCTGTCACTTAGCCTTATGGCAAGCCTGAAAGAAACCAACAGGGAAGTTTCTGAACTCCTGTCCGCATGTGTTTTTATCACATTATCACAGTGACTTTAAAATATATACAGTGGAAAGGCAATTGATAAATAAATGCTCAACTCTAACCTTCATTTATGAATTCAATCCAGCGTGGAAAAGGCAGCCTAACCCGATATCCACCTCGTCTAGCTCTCCGACTCTGATTGATCCATCAGAATTGCTATTCATTTATACAAGTGTTTATATACTGCCCTCTTGCAAATAGGGTGGGCGAGAGATCAATATATCGTCCGAAACTGGCTTGAAGTCCATATTGTGATATTGGATTCAGTTTTTGACCTGCTAATATATTGTGAATCATTGTGTGTGTGTGTGCGTGCGCACTATGTGGGGAAAACTGCAAATCAAGCCAATGCTCCATCCTTATTTCAGACATTGTGATACATTGTGATGTTTAGCTGGTCATATTGCCCAGCCCTACTTGCAAAGCATTTCACAGCAATGTAAAATCCTTTAAAAGCAATACAAACCAATCATCAAAACGAATGGCTTCTCAGGAAAAAAATAAATAAAGCTCTATGTGCCTGTTGGCATGAAATAAAAAAGTCTTCAACAGATGCCTAAAAGTGAAAAGTTGAGGATGCCAAATCTGCACAACACTAAATGCCTGACTTCTGGCCGAGGTCAGTGGGGCCTCTGCAATGTGGGGAACAACTAACAGGGCTGCTCCAGATGATCTCAGTGATCAGGTTGGGCTCTAAGGGCTCAAGCGGTCCTTATGCTATACTGGACCCAATTTATTCAGGGTTTTGTGTATCAGCGCAAGAGACTTATACCTGGCCTGCCAGGATATGAGCAGCCAGCGCAGGTATTTCAGCAGAGGTGTCGCATGCTAAAGCCTCCAGGCCAGGTCCAAGGGTGGCCCAACACAAAGCGCACTGCAGTAATCCAGCCTTGAGTTACCGGAGCATGCAGTACAGCGGCCATGTTACCCACTTCCAGTTACAACTGCAGCAGGTATACCAGACATAGATGGCGAAAGGCACTCCTAGCCGCAACTGTTGGGATACTGCCAGGGAGACAAAGTCCATCATGGCCCCACGTCGCCTCCGGACATCCATCAATCTCCCGTAGACACGCAGTATCAGCAATTAGTGACACGAGCTCCAGAAATATCTTGCCACATTCCAGAGCTGATGCACGCTCTTATGAGCAGATAATGCACAGCGAAAGATGCACGCAGGAGAGCATTATTTAAGTTTATTCAGCGTTGGTCAGAACAAAGAAAAAACATGACCGCCTGCTTCAGTGTTTAGGCACCAAGAGAGAAACGAAAGCAATAGAAAACATAAACTTCCTGTGAACAGGAAATACGCAGACTCTGTGACTCACAAAGCCTGCTCCCTTTTAAGGTGGAACGGAAATATCCTAACATCCTCCCCCTTTCCGTGTAACCTGTAGTACCTGTGGTTCAACCCAATTGCAACCTTTGTACGTAAACCTTAAGTTGTTCTTTGTTAACAACCTTAGACAACAGATCAGCAGTGCCACCTGGCTACCTGTAACCTTCCTGAAAGAGCAAGGGTCCAGAGAGTAGGTAGTCAGAGGCACTGCTGCAAGTATCTTGTCAACATCATCAGGATGCATCAAAATGAAATGGTCCCATTAGAGTGGACCAGATGTTGCATTAGATCCCTCAGCTGCATTTGCTGCAATAGGGGCAACATGTCATTTCTCTATTCTGCCTCTCAGCATTTGGGGTGGAGTGGGAGGAACAGAAGGGTCTTGTTCCTAAACCCCTTGTGACTAACAGACACTACTGCATTTAACCTACAGTGGACGCTCGGGTTTTGTTTTGTTTTAAATTTATTATTTGTACCCCGCCCATCTGGCTGGGTTTCCCCAGCCACTCTGGGCAGCTTCCAACAAAGATTAAAAATACGGTACATTAAAATGTCACACATTAAAAACTTCCCTGAACTTCAGATGTCTTCTAAATGTTAGGTACAGCGGTGCCCCGCAAGACGAACGCCTCACAAGACGGAAAACCCGCTAGACGAAAGGGTTTTCCGTTTTGGAGGCGCTTCGCAAAACGAATTTCCCTATGGGGTTGCTTCATAAGACGAAAAAATCTTGCGCGTCCCCGCGGGTTTTTTCTGCTCCCCCCCTTTTCCTAAGCCGCTAAGCCGCCTATCAGCTGTTCCGCTGATAACCCGCTTAACAGCTGATCGCGAAAAGCCGCTAGACCGCTGTAGCGCTAATCCGCTAAGCTGTCAATGGGCTTGCTTCGCAAGACGAAAAAACCGCTAGACGAAGAGAATCGCCAAACGGATTCTTTTCATCTAGCGAGGCACCACTGTAGTTATTTATCTCTTTGACATCTGATGGGAGGGCATTCCACAGGGCGGGCGCCACTACCAAGAAGGCCCTCTGCCTGGTTCCCTGTAGCTTTGCTTCTCGCAATGAGGGAACCGCCATAAGACTCTCAGCGCTGGACCTCAGCATCCGGGCAGAATGATGGGGGTGGAGATGCTCCTTCGGGTATACTGGGCCGAGACCGTTTAGGGCTTTAAAGATCAACACCAACACTTTGAATTGTGCTCGGAAACGTACTGGGAGCCAACGTAGGTCTTTCAAGACCGGTGTTATGTGGTCTCAGTGGCCCCTCCCAGTCACCAGTCTAGCTGCTGCGTTCTGGATTAGTTGTAGTTTCCGGGTCACCTTCAAAGGTAGCCCCACATAGAGCGCATTGCAGTAGTCCAAGAGGGAGATAACTAGAGCATGGGTTGCGAATGTGATCCGTGTGGGATGCACGTCCACAAACTGCAGTGGAGCGTCTGCGCACATGCGGGTTGCAATTCGGCGCTTCTGCGCATTTGCAGCCACCAAAACCCGGAAGTAACCCGTTCTGGTACTTCCGGGTTTTGGTGGTCAGTAACCCGTAAAAACACAACCTGAAGCATCTGTAACCCGAGGTATGACTGTATTTGATTTAACACGATTTGACGTTCTAAATGCAACTTGCAATACGCACCCAGAATTCTGGCTTTTACATTTTCAGGCAGCAGTCTTTCTCCAAGTCTGCTGGCCTTCATTTTACACCAGGCTAGACTATGCTTGCTTTCGTGCAGCTGGGAACGCAGTTTCTCCACCTCCATTTGCAGCTCATCGTTCTTGTCGCGCAGCTCCTGAAAGGGAAGAACCCAGAAGCTCAAATTGTGGAACAGCCTCCCTCGGATCTACCTCGTTGGGTGCACAGCAACCGTTCCTCGACAGAATAACCAGGTGTGCTTGTAAATAATTCTCACAGAAATGCTATAAGACAGTCTTTAAAAAACACAAGACACTGGAACATAAGAAAAGCATGCTGAATCAGGCCCGTGGTCCATCTAGCCCAGTGGCTCTCTAACTTCTTTCTCTGGGCCGTACTTTCAGGAAAAGAATTTGGTCGCTCCATGCCATGTTTTTTATTGACAAGAAATACAAAAAGAAGCAACTCCTTGCAGTGCTTGATTTATAGCACAGAACAATTTGCTGTGCGGTATCATACTGTTAAAGTAAAACTAATCAAACAAAACTGAAAAGACAGAGGGAAGCAGAAATAGGCTCCAGGAGAACCCCTTGGGCATATTCTTCGTGCAGATAATTCAAAATACAGACTCCCAATGTCTGAGTGTTTATTTGCTTTGTGATGCTTTCTTAAAGGTAGCTGCTTCAGATGCTGCAAGAGCACTGAACCCTTTTCAGCAAATTCATAATTTTTTGTAGTACAGCTGTTCTCCCTCACTGGATCATCACCTTGTCGCGGTGTGTGGGCTTGAACGTTCCTGGGATCCTTGTGAGCTGCTGAACTGCAGAACTTGCTCAAAAACAAAAGCCTACCACTCAGTTCTGAAAGACACCTGAGTTTTCTGGAGCCACCGTGAAGTCTGTGAGGGAGGGAGAACTGGGAGCTACGGACAGAACTGAATTTAAAAAGATCTGCGCTTCTCATTTCCTTAGCTGACAAGGTACACGAACGATATAACTTTACAAGTGCAGAAGTGACTAGAGGGGGACAGGACTGAGGCCTACACAACACAAAGGAGGTAAAAAGCGAGCCGCAATATAGAAGTCCATGGAAATGGGGACTCAAGCATTTCCGAAAACAAAAAACCTTGTAACACGCAAGATCTCAGGCTGCAACAAGACATCATGCAGGTTTGCTAAAGAACAGTATACCGCTACAAACAAGTGGATCGTGCACACACCTGAGGAGGGGAAAGTGCTCACCTTCACTCTCTATCAGGATGTAGCAGCAGCCAATGTCGAGAGTTTGGGGAGAAACAGGGAGAACTGAATTGGTAGCAGGACACATGAAATAACTCTAGTGCAACAGCAGTAGTTCTACCTGCACTGTCGGAAGCGACAGATATTACGTTGTGATTTCCTTCTGGCAAGAAGCAGAGCTGGAGCAAAAACGGCAATAGTCACATGCTCCAAGTTAACTCTACAACCATTTGGTAAGGTGCCCCCAATTTGTATTCTAATAAAATATAGCTACCCTATGGTTAGGATCTCACTGTTCTGGTCTATGAGTGCAGCTCTCCATAGGCTCTGTAATTAATGAGAATACATTTAAAGCGGTATCATACCACTTTAAACAGGCATGGCTTTCCCCAAAGGATCCTGAGAGCTGTAGTTTGTTAAGGGTGATGAGAGTTGTTAAGAAACCCCTATCCCCCCCCCCACAACAATTCCCAGAGTTCCCTAGAAAGAGGAATTGACTGCTAAACCACTCTGAGAATTGTAACTCTGTGAGGGGAAAAGGAGTTTCCAATAATTATCAGCACTAGTAACAAGCTAGAGTTCCCACAATTCTTTGGGCATAGCCAAACTGTTGCTTTTAAAAAAAAGTAACAGCAAACCATGGTTTACAGCTAACCAGGAAGTAACTAGCTAAATCTGCACAAGGGAAGGAGTGCTTGAGGCTTGATCACATAACGTCAAACTATGGTTTGGCACTATGTCTGAACTTACCCTCTGTGTTGAACCTTGGTGTTTAACTGCTATTCTAAAATGTGCCATTGAGGAAATGATGTAGGCGCTTATCAAAAGATTGCTGATCTTTTAAAGAAAAGAGGCACGAAGCCTTAATTATTGTGAGACTTGAATGAAGGCTGTTCTCTCAGCACTCGGATGGGTCCTCCCTGCACGACACCATTTATAACACGTACAGGCCACCTACCCGGCACTGCAGCTCATATTCCTGAATGATTTTGGCAAAGCGTTCTTCTTGATCAAAGAGCTCTGTGCTGTGTGGATCCAGCAGCCCCAGCTAAAGCAAGCAAAGAGGTTTATTTTAAAAGTATTAGTGGTGAAATTACTATATTCATTCATTCATTCATTCCAAGAAATTTATACACCCCTTGATTGGAAAAACAAACCCTCAAGCAGTTTACAATTAGCTGGTGGGAGCCAATTTTTCGGCAGCTGAAGGCTAGATTTATAGCTTGACCTTAAATACATTTAATTTGGAAGCTCTGTCAACTTCAAGAAAACGTGATTTTTAATACATGCACTTATCCCTGTGATTAGGAACCAAATAAGGCCACAATAGAAAGCCAACCGAAAGAGGTCAAAATCCTACAACAAAGATAAATATGAATTTTATTGGTTTTCAATAAAGAGGAAAGCATTTTCATCAATCCGAAGCTACCTTGTCTTTCAACATGAAGTCGAGATCCTTCTGAAGATTTAGTACTTGCTTTTCAGATTCAGACAACTTTTGAACCACTTCAACAAGTTCACTTTGTAAGCGACTATTCTCCTTTAAAAAAAAAACCAAAAATATGGAAAAAAAGAAATCGAAAGTGCACATTTACGCTCATTAAACATGACACTGGGGTACCTTTTTGCGATTCCTGAGCAAGATACCAACATGTAGGATACAAAAAGGCTAGCACTCAGAAGCAATCCTGAAAAAACTAGCTCCACCCAACAAGGTGCCCTAATCCTCAAGGGATCATTTTGGGGGGCTGGAAGGGAAAGTAAGTTTCCACCAGCCCTGATAGGTGGATGGCTCTCTTTGAAAAGTGGGTTAAATTCATTTAACAACAAAATACAACTCTCTAGTCCTCATGGCTGCAGATTAAAGTGTAACAGTAATGCCTGGTGAAGTCTCCATAAGTCAAGAGACGAAAGCATATTTTTACTTAATATGTACTGTTTGCAGAATTCAGCCTCCTTTCAGGCAGGATTTTTACTTTATTCTTATTTTCAAGCTCAGAATATGCAGTCTTGCTGAAGGCTGCACTGGTCATCCTGAAGATAACAGATGCTCTGAATCCTTACCTTGATCACTAAGCTCAGCTTCTGCCTCAGGCTAGATTCTTCCTCTTGAAGAGATCTGATGTCTGCTTCTAGCTTGGTTTTCTGGTGGTTCCCTTGTTGCAAGAGCCGCTCCTTCTCCATCTCCGCTTCAGACTTCATAACACTGAGTTTTCCTCTGTAGTCTTGCTCAAGGTCTCTGCAAGATACAAGCAGTGTTACTGGTATGTGCAAGTATTTCCATGTGAAAATAAAAACAGAATGGTCCACAAAAGAAATGACTAGTGAGAATAAGGTGTTGGCCTCTCTACAGTCACAATTTTGTGAGCATTGGCTGCATAGCTTATGCTGTGCTGTTTCACTGGATGGCAAGTTGGGTCTGCTTTTCACACTCCTCCTTGTGTATAAACCCCATCAGATAATGACACCAAAAAGCTGGCTCACGTACTTCATTTTACTCTCATTGTGGTGCTCCAATGCACTATTGTGATCATCCACCTCCTCAAAAAGCTGCAGCTTCCGCTTTTCCACCTTCTCCAATTCAACTCGCGCTTTGTCTCTCTCAATGGATATTTGCTCTACCTGAGCTCTGCAAAGACAGTAAAGGTGCTGTTAAGTATGCATCCAAAATGATGAAGAAGCGTCTTTCTGTTCAGTTTCTATCCTACTGTTTCACATGGGATCAGTGCAAAAGAACAGCAGATTTTTTATTAATTTAATCCAATTTAAAACTGCATGTATTTGTTATCTTCCTATATACATAAAACAGTAAGGCTGTCGCCACTCTGCGGTTTGGGTGGCTACCAAAAGATGGCCACTCCAACTCCTGTGTGACAACAGAACAGCAGGCGAGTGGTGAGAAAACAGCACTGGGTGGCAGACAGCGCAGACAAGCTGTTTAACAGAGGGAGGGAAGGTGCTTCAGAGAACAGTTTTGACAAACTGCTCTCTGAAGTGCTTCCCGCTCTTTCAAAAGGGTTGGGAGTTGGGGTAGGTTTGGGCAAACTGTGAAGCAATAGGTGAAGGGGTGGGTGAGGTGTAAAGGGAGAAGGGGTTGGCCAGGAATGGGGCCTCCACCCAAAACAGCCGAAGAACAAGTTACTCTAGATGGCGAAGTTCGTGTCTGTAAGAAGCAAAAGCTGCCTGTTGAAGTCCGCTCTTGGGAACTGTTATCTCCTCATCAAGGGCTGCAGACAGCTCCAAGAGGTTAACTCTCTCCTCCATGTTGAAATCCAGACTCTGTTAAAACACACACAGAGAGAGCTTCTCAAAATCAAGGGAAATGTAAGTCAAGAGGTTCTAAAACTACTGCTATCAATATTTATTCAAGGCCAGTGTGCTAGGCTCTGTATACAGAACAGCCAGAGCTATTGAAAGAAGGGGGCTTTAAAAAGGTCGATAGCAGGAGGTGCAGAAAGTGTGAGGCTATGGTGTTCCAAAAAAGGCTTGGCAGAAGTGGGATTTGGAGGGGAGCTGCCTTAATAGAGAGGGCAAGGCTGTTTCAGAAGGGATAGCCAAAATGGTGTCCTCCAGATGTCTTGAACTACAATTCCCATCATCCCTGTCTGTTGACCATGCTAGCTAGGAGCTGATGGGATTTGTAGTTGAAAACGTTTTGAAGGCACCATGTTGGCTATCCTTTCATCTAAGCCAGTGTTTCCCAAATTTGGGTCTCCAGCTGTTTTTGGAATACAACTTCCATCATCCCTGACCACTGGTCTTGCTAGCTAGGGATAGTGGGAGTCCAAAAACCCCTGGAGGCCCAAGTTTGGGAAACACCGATTTAAGCCATCAGAAGAACCTTGGGCAGGAGGAGGAGAAAAAGGGTCAACAACATTTGGGTTAATGCAGCGTAGAGCAAAGAAAACAAGAAGGGGAAGAATTTCAATTCCCAAGGTTCTTTGTAGGGTGCCACTATTGTACCACTTTCTGAGTAGCTTAAAATGTGTCACACGGATGCTAATTAATATGAAGGTGCTGCAATTCATCATTGGGATCTTTAGTGGGAAAGAGGGATGCAGGGGTGGGGGCGAGAGAGAAGGGGGAAAATGCTTTTTCTTGGGATGAAAGGAAAACCAAAGCCTTCGTAATCTGTAAGGAGCAGCTAGAAACCTTAAGGATCTCCTTGCAGTTTTCAACCCCTTCCTGGGCCCAGATGGAGACAACTTGCTCAGGCCTTGCAAAGCCACTGCCGTCATCGATGCTGGAGAAAAGATTCAAGGCCACGGAGCCAGATAAGAAGGATGGAGTTGTGCTTCTGTCTTTGAAAATCTGGGGGCGGATTGGGGGGGAAGCGATGGAGGGAGGAAAAGAAGGAAAAGTTGATTTAGACAAACAGTGTAGCAATTGAGAGAGACCTGAAATGCAATGTGTTTTTCCAATGAAGAAGATCCTTATGCATCTATAAATAAAGGAAGCTGATTGTTCGCAGCTACCAGGGTTTGTATTTTAATATCAGTTGTGATCGTATGTCAAAACAAATGCCTTCAAAAAGCTTGTCCGAAGGTGAGCAGAAGGAGGCACTGTAAAAGCTTGCCTAAGTTTAAACCAGTTCTCTAATCCTCCACCTAAACAGAATTAGCTTGTTTCAAGCTGGGAAGACCAGAAGGATTACCTAGTAGCCAGATGCATGCAGCCCATCTGAACTCTGTAAACAGTACTCTATCTATCTATCTATCTATCTATCTATCTATCTATCTATCTATCTATCTATCTATCTATCTATCTAGACCCACCATTGGAAAGCTGCTTATTCTCCAGTGTGAATTATTACTCTGGGTTACATCCGCATGGGGATTTAGGATTTTCTGCACCAACCTCTTTAACTAGGGTGTGTTCATAGCTCCTACTGGATGGGATTACTCTATATCTGAGCTTTATCTCGGGTAAGCAACTCTCTCATTAAACAGGCACTAGGCCATATTGCAGGGACGCGGGTGGCACTGTGGGTTAAACCACAGAGCCTAGGGCTTGCCGATCAGAAGGTTGGCAGTTCAAATCCCCGCAACGGGGTGAGATCCTGTTGCTCGGTCCCTGCTCCTGCCAACCTAGCAGTTCGAAAGCACAAAAGTGCAAGTAGATAAATAGGTACCGCTCTGGCAGGAAGGTAAACGGCATTTCCGTGCGCTGCTCTGGTTTGCCAGAAGCGGCCTAGTCATGCTGGCCACATGACCCAGAAGCTGTACGCCGGCTCCCTCGGCCAATAAAGCGAGATGAGCACCGCAACCCCAGAGTCGGCCACGACTGGACCTAATGGTCAGGGGTCCCTTTACCTTTACCTTTTAGGCTAGAAAAGGCAACTTGGAGATCCCACACACCACTCCAGTACTTCAGACTGAATTTATAAGAAGAAGTCTGCTAAACTCTGCCTTTGCTTTGCTTTCCAGGGATCATAAAAAGTAGAGTAAATGAAAACAGCCCTTGGCATCTGAATCTTTCAGGTCACCTTTTACATTTGAAGGTCAGTTCAAGACATTCTAGCCTAGTTCTCATTTGCAGCAGTAAACCACGGTTGCCCATTATGTGCACGAGGAAGAGGAAATGGGAAACTTCCATTTCTGGTTTGCAACTAACCACGGTCACTCACAACATTTGAACTTTGGAAACTGTTGCTTATTTAAACCACTGTTAGTGATAACAATTCAGGAGGCAGCAATGGTTTCAGAATGTGGCTTACTTTAGAAAGCCACGTTTCCCCAAATTTGGAGGTCACTGAGAACTTTGAAACAGAAAGCAGGTGGTTCCAGTCTTCTCCCCTAGCATGCGAAAAAGCATGTCGCAGCTTAGTTACATAGCATGAAAATATGGCTTCCCATGTGTCATAACACAGCTCTGCATGAAAAGGCAACTGCTGGAGGTCCTCTGAATGGTTTCAGATTTTGAGCCTTAAAACTATGTTTCTGAAGGAAGTCTTTCTCTCAGAAATTATACTTTGACAGTTACCTGGTGGGATGGTGATCTCTGACATCTTAGTTTGAGAGGTGTGGAAGAAATAGGGCAAAGAATGGAGCTGTGGTTGAACAGGCCAAGCTGGAATTCCTTTAAGCTTACTCTGCCATCTCCATCACTATCCAACTGGTTAAACAAATCTTCAAGATCCTGAATAAAACATTTTAAAAAAGCAATCTATCACAAAGTATCAGACATTATATTTAGAAAAAAAATTACCTGAGGAATTGGACCATTTTATGCTGTCCAAAAAGTGGTATTTTATAACAATTTTAACTAACAAATGCTCTTGGAAGCACAACGGTTTCCCCTAAAACAGTCATTTTACTGCCTAGTCATTAAGAGGAATAAATTGCCTTTTGGAAGGTGAACCTAGTACCAGGAAGAAACACACAACACAAATACTCCAAACAATGCCCCCCACATCAAAATACATTGATTTGTTCCAACAGAACCAATAGGCAGCCTAGCACAGCAGCTCACCGGGTTATGACCAAAATTTAATAAAGTCCACCGAACCTTAAAGACTTGGAGATGGGACATTATTGTTAGCGCTTTCAAGCTCTTTGCAGTTAGTGGGCAACTGTGGCAGCACTATCGCCCTGGCGCCTCTTCTGCTGCTTTGAGGGCTGCAACAAAAAGCTGCAGCACCACCTTAGTGGTCTTTCTGGCCAGAAAAAAAAGGAGTGTGGTACTACAACATCTACAAAAAAGTAACATGGGGAAATGCCAGTATGGTACAGTAGTTCTGGGAATAACAGATCTAGATCTAGATCTAGATCTAGATCTATCCTCACCCATCTGGCTCGGTTTCTCCAGCCACTCTGTGTGGCTCCCAGCAGAATTTTAAAAACACGCTCAAACATTAAAAACTGGGATGTTGTGTGGATTGAATCAAGGTTGGGGGAGAACAATGTACTCCACCCAGAAGAAAAGCAAGCCATAAATGCAATAAATAAGGACTGGCAGAAACAGGCTCTCAGATTTATTTGCAAGGCTGATCTACCATACAGGGCTGTTGTGAATATTGCCTAAACGACACTGGGGAATTGCCTTCAATACTTGGCCAAACGATTTCCAACAGCTGAATTTACCCCACCTCTTTGTCCATCTCTTTGAGTCCAATGTTCTTACAAACGGTAGCCAGCTCTTGTTTGTTAAGGTGCCCATTCTTTCCAACGCCAAGATCTTCCCAGATGACCCGAACCTGATTCTCAGTCATGCCAAAACACGAGGGGGAGACCTTTCTGGGGCTATCATAGAGGTCATCATGCCAGGTACACCTTCGCCCTGTAAATATAAAGAAATTCCACTAAGCAAGAAGAACGGCATTTTACCTTTCAATTATTCTGGCAGTCATAGCAAAGACTGCTCTTTCCACAAGCCTTCAACCATTTAACAGAGAATCCCACTCTCCTCTTTAGACTTAATTTTTCAAAATTGCTTCCTCCAATATTTGCCCTGAGTACATGAGCCCCATGTGAAAGCTGCAAGACTCCAATGCTCTGCGAACCTTCAAGTACAAAATATACCAATGATTTTGCATTGCTTACAATGTAAGTAGGGTTTCCACTGTAGATGGAAGTATATAACACAATGAAATAAAATGGGATTTCCCCAGGAATGCATGAAAGCATTCTCAGAAGAATATTGACCTGTCTGCTTCATCAGTCTTCCTTATCCTCTAACTGCATCTTTCCAAACAACGTAAGCATGGCATAGTGGTCAGAGTGTTGGGCTGGGACCTGTTAGAGCAGGGTCCGAATCCCTATTTAGCCAGACTTCACTGGTTGGCTTTGGCCCAGTCATTGCCACTCAGCTGAACCTACTTCACAGGGTTGTTTTGAGGATAAAACTGGGAAGGAGGAGAACCATGTATTACTCATTGGAGTAAAGGTGGGATTTAAATAAATGAGCAATAGTTTTCAATGCTAAATGTTAGCCCCATAATAAATCTGAGGGAAGAAAAGTTTAGGGCGATTGTTTTAACTACTACTGAAAAAAATAATACTGATGTGCTGAAGTTATCAAGTTGTCTTTTAGCGAGTTGGACCACTGGTCCACCTCAACCAGTACTGAGCTGTGAGAAGGACTTTGCACGCAGAAGGTCCTGGGTTCCATTCCAGCATCTCCAAGTAGGACTGGAAATCTTCCTCAAACCCCAGAGAGCCACCTGCCAGTCCGTGTAGACAATACTGAGCTAAGATGGACCAAAGGTCTGACTTGGGATAAAACAGCTTCTTATGCGTACTCTGACAGGCAGTGGCTCTCCAAGGTCTCAGAAAAAGGTTGTTTTCCACCACTTGCTTCCTGTTACATTTAACTGGAAATATCAGGGACCTTCTACCTGTAAAAAATGGATTTTGTCACTGAACTATCACCCTGTCCTTAAAGTCACCGATTGAAATCAGATGACCAGAGAGTTAAAGAAGGAAAGTTTCCATCCTCGGTATTGCTTTTTCTCCTTTCCTTTTTTCTAAAGGAGAGAACCCGTTCTAATTTTTTTTAACATGCATTTTCAGTTTAGGTTTCTCCTACCTTGACCCTCAAACATCTCATGCTGTTGTTCTTTTGTGCTTTCGGCCTCTTCGTCTGATTTAAGGCTCTGAAAAGAAGAGAAGGATTCACTGTTTCATGCAAGCTAAAGAGCTGAGCTTTTTTTTTTAAAAAAAAAAGGATTATCATGAGTCTTGCGGAGGTGTCCTGGAGGGGATGGTCAGATCCTGAGGAAGAATGGGAAGAGCTCAGGGAGGTGACCAGAACGACCCTGGGGAGGATCCGAGTGGAACAAAGCAGGCGGAATTGGGATCCCAAGAAGTATCTGCACCCAGGGAGGAGATCAGTCATCTGAAGAATGGACAGCTGGATCCAGGAGAGGGTCAAAGCAGATTGGCAGAGGGGTGTTCTGCTCCTGCAATACTGCATACACCTAGTCGGATACCTCCTGCTATGCAGCCACATGAGTGACTCCTCCTGCCAGAAAGGGTCTCCCTCCAGAGAGACAAGCAACTGAGAGCATGTTGGATGCTCAGCTGGCCCCAACCCCACTTGTCTCTGAGGACACTATACAGATGCACCGGTTCTCTCCAGCCTCATCCTAAGTAACTTCAGCTTCCTGGATGCTGGCTTTGGATACAGAAACTGTAGGAATGTTCAGGGTGGCAGGAGAGGATATATTGTTTATTGATATCCTTCCTAACTTGCATTAGGGACGCGGGTGGCGCTGTGGTTAAAAGCCTCAGCGCCTAGGGCTTGCCGATCGAAAGGTCAGCGGTTCGAATCCCCGCGGCGGGATGCGCTCCCGTTGCTCGGTCCCAGCGCCTGCCAACCTAGCAGTTCGAAAGCACCCCCGGGTGCAAGTAGATAAATAGGGACCGCTTACTGGCGGGAAGGTAAACGGCGTTTCCGTGTGCTGCGCTGGCTCGCCAGATGCAGCTTTGTCACGCTGGCCACGTGACCTGGAAGTGTCTCCGGACAGCGCTGGCCCCTGGCCTCTTAAGTGAGATGGGCGCACAACCCCAGAGTCTGTCAAGACTGGCCCGTATGGGCAGGGGTACCTTTACCTTTTTAACTTGCATTAGCAAGTTCCTTTACTTAGCGGAGTACATTCCCCTTTACACAGCAGAAAACTGGTTGCAAACTTGTGTGAGTTTCTTAAGACAATACGCAATTCCATCTGGCTTGTCCAGATTGAAATGTGTTCTAATATTTTCCTTATAAGACCCCTTGAATCCCTCCTAAAACAAATAAAGACACCACAGTCTTATTCATAAGCAATAAAAAGAAAGTTTACTCACAATCAGGCAGAGCACAGTGTGATCCCTGAAGGCAGGCTTAAGGCTTAAAGTTACAAGCATACACAAAGAGGTTTACCCTGTATTTGGGTTGACCTAGTGACTGCAGTTAGCAGTCCGGGAAGTTCACAAGACGAAAGGAAGATGGAAAAGAGGGAGAGTGGAAGCATGCCTTGGCCTTTTACCAGGTCTGGAAAGGTCATGCCCACCCACTAGTCACATGCAAGGAAGGATGCTCCAGGCCAGGAGGAACAGGAAGTTTTTGACTGGCTGGACCAAACATTCCCTTGCACGTCCACTCTAGCAAAACAAGGAATGTTGTATTTGACTGCTCCCAGTGGATTACATCCCACAGAAACACGCAAACACCTCCTCTGCAATGACATGTTCACTGCCTTGATATCTGAGCCTAATATTTGTTACTGAATGCTGGGCAGGCTTTGGAAACTTCTGAACTTCTGGGTAAGCATGAACTATGAAAGAAGCCTCCTTTTTACAAGGCTGCTTCTTTTAAAGTAACATACAGTAAAACTCAAGAGACTCAACCTCACCTCCACGCTCTCCAAAGATGCTGAACGTCTCAGCTGACTTTTCCCATTTGCCTTTGCTTGCTGTTCCTGTAAATACTTGGGAGTTTCCAGACTTGCGCCCTGCAGTTCCGGCCTCGTCCGGCGGCCATACCACTTGGCCCCATGGATGTATTTAGGCTCGACTTCATCCGGAACAGCTAAGAGTTGGAAACACAATTGTAGATCAGGATCACCACTCTGATTGCAGCTCTGCTCTACAGTATACTTAAGCTTAGTGGTCAATAGCGCACTGTAAACAAAGGAACTTGAATGCAGTAAATTCAAAACAAGTAATCTTTTAGCACCCACACTCTTCACCCACCTGGTTCCAGGTAACTGCTCTCATCATCTGAAAGACCAAGGCTGATGCTTGAGGACAATATGGTCACAAAGCCTTCCTTAAACTCTTCAAAGTTAACCTAGGAGTGGACGGACAAGACATTGTTAAGTCAGGTGTATACCAGGAATGAAGTTCAGTTTTTGTTTCTGCGTTATGCTGAGTCAGACCATTGGTCCACATAGCTTGATATTGTCTACACTGGCAGGAAGTGGCTCCCCAGGGTGCCCAGCACTACCTCAAGATGTCAGGGATTGGACCTGGCATCTTCTGTCTGCTAAGCAGATGCCCGACCAGCAAGCCATGCTCTTCACTTTTGCCAATCCAGCTTAAGAAGATCTGGTGGTAAACAGGGCAGCACTGATTCCCAGCAAAATCTTGTTCTCGTTCAGTTACTCCAGAACCTACCCCTACTGGAGGACGTTGCTAATGTTTGATGAGGTCTCAAAGACCAAATTTAATTCACCTGACGGGAACTGATATTCATCAGGTTTGGGGAATGAGCAATGCACCCATGCATTTTGCATCACTGCCCTGGCACTCTGGTTTTAAAGAGAGGCACCAGCATGAATGCAATACTTCAGATGCTAGCTGCCTAAAAGGAGACTGCCAATTGCTAAGCTCTTACAGACTCCATCACTAGAAAACGTACCGTTCCAGGGCACTGTAGCTTGGGCACCAATGTGGCAAGCCAAAGTGTTTATTTGGTCTGGCTTTTGATTCACCAAGGTGCTTTAAGATGCCACCTGAACAATAAGTACACAAGTGTACTTTCAAAGGGTTATTCTCCTTTGAAAATGAGTAGTTAACAGAATCAAATGAGGATGCTGACGAGTTTCAGCAGTTATGGTAGGGGTGCAAATGTGTGTGTGTGTATTTCATAAAAAGATAGCAAGGTGGAGTACAACATATAAGGATAAAATCAGCAAAATATACATAAAACCACCCTCAAATGTCTACTATACTAAGCTATTGTCCCATGAACAAACCTTTAAAAAAATGCTCTAGAGATCTGGGGTAGAGATTTCAATTTTTCACACCAGAAATATACATGCATTCTATTAACAAGCATTCCGAGATACTAGAATTTCCATGTTCCTTCTATTAAATGTTTTGAGAATTGCAATCAGTCACCCTTATCTTTCTTATTCTTTAGAGCAAGAAAGAGAAGTCGCTATATTTTTGCACTTGGGAGACTGAGAATATTTGATTGGCAGAAACCTTTGCAGGATCATTTGTAAGAATGGGAACAATACCCTCAGTCAGTTCAAAAGTGCAGCTTTTGTTAACAGAGAACATGCTTCCAGCTTCTTGCAAGTTCCATTAATCCAGGTCCCAATTTAGAAAAGACAGGCAACAATTTATAACTCTCTGCTGAAAACCCAGCAAGGATGCCCATGAATTCTCTTACATAGGAAATTAGTTTGAACTTTAGAAAGCTAGTCACATAAAACAAAAGAACAAACAGAGCTTTGCTTCTACACCAAAAGATTTGGGCTACGTAACTGGTTTGGAGGATTGAGAATAAATACAGCAGTGAGCTGCAGTCAAACCATTTCTCCTCCTCTCCAATATAGCAAGGGGAGGAGCTGGAAAGGTGCTACTTAACAGCACACCATAATTTGCCTTTGTGTCTAAATGCAATAAACTATGGATTGTCCATAACTAAATTCTAAGCCATCCTGGATTGAGAATGAGCAGCAGTTAGCCAGGACATTTGAGGTCCTGGTTTGTATGCAAGTTGTATTTTGACCAAACAAAATTAAGCCCGACCCAGCATTTTAAATCTTCCCGGACAGGGAGATTTAAATGCGGGTCGCAGCCTTCGCTGGACCCAGCATTTTAAACGCATCGAAGGGAGTGGACACTGCCCAGCCGCCCATTCGAAAGCTGTTCCGAAGCGGGAGGGGGCGGGACACTGCCCAGCCGCCCACTCGGAAGCTTTCCGAAGGGAGGGGGCGGACATCTACTCGGAAGCTGTTCCGAAGCAGCGGGGACATCTGCCCCAGCCGCCCCACTTCGGAAAGCTGTTCCGAAGCGGGGAGGGGGGGCGGGGACATCTGCCCCAGCCGCCCCACTTCGGAAAGCTGTTCCGAAGCGGGGAGGGGGGGCGGGGACATCTGCCCCAGCCGCCCCACTTCGGAAAGCTGTTCCGAAGCGGGGAGGGGGGCGGGGACACCTGCCCCAGCCGCCCCACTTCGGAAAGCTGTTCCGAAGGGGGGCGGGGACATCTGCCCCAGCCGCCCCACTTCGGAAAGCTGTTCCGAAGCGGGGAGGGGGGGCGGGGACATCTGCCCCAGCCGCCCCACTTCGGAAAGCTGTTCCAAAGCGGGGAGGGGGGGCGGGGACATCTGCCCCAGCCGCCCCACTTCGGAAAGCTGTTCCGAAGCGGGGAGGGGGGGGCGGGGACATCTGCCCCAGCCGCCCCACTTCGGAAAGCTGTTCCGAAGCGGGGAGGGGGGGCAGGGACATCTGCCCCAGCCGCCCCACTTCGGAAAGCTGTTCCGAAGCGGGGAGGGGGGGCGGGGACATCTGCCCCAGCCGCCCCACTTCGGAAAGCTGTTCCGAAGCGGGGAGGGGGGGCGGGGACACCTGCCCCAGCCGCCCCACTTCGGAAAGCTGTTCCGAAGCGGGGCGGGGGGCGGGGACACCTGCCCCAGCCGCCCCACTTCGGAAAGCTGTTCCGAAGCGGGGAGGGGGGGCGGGAACAACTGCCCCAGCCGCCCCACTTCGGAAAGCTGTTCCGAAGCGGGGAGGGGGAGCGGGGACACCTTCTGAAGGCGGGCAGGGGGCGAAAGTCTTTGTCCCCCCTGCCTGCCTTCCCAGGGGCTTTTAAATCGCCCCGGACAGCGGAGAAGTCCTCCGCTGTCCCAGGGTTTTTTAAAATGCCGGGGGTGGGAAGAAAAGCCCTTGTCCCCCCCCCCAGCCTTCAGAAGAGGTCCGGGGACAGACTGTCCCCGGACCTGGTCTGAAGGCGGTTTCCCTAGGAACGCATTAATTGATTTTCAATGCATTCCTATGGGAAACCGTGCATCGCAAGACGAAAAAACCGCAAGACGAAGAGACTTGCGGAACGAATTAATTTCGTCTTGCGAGGCACCACTGTACTTGGGCACAAAGAAGTGGAAGCTTCTGATCTCCACACACACACACACACACGCAAAACCAATGCTTTGGAAGATTGTCTGAATGCAACCAACAGCTACCAGGTAACATTTTCTGTTGAAGCGAAGACTACTCCATACTTCTGTAGGATAGTTCTGTATTAGGATAGTTCTGTATTCTCTTGGTTGCATTCAGACAATCATGCAACGGTCACCTCTAGGCTTGATTATTGTAACTCACTCTATGCAGGACTGCCCTTGAAGCTGACCCAGAAACTCCAGCAGGTGCAGAATGCCACGGCGAGGCTCCTTATGGGGGATCACATTCATCCCGTGCTTTACCAGCTGCACTGGCTCCCAGTGGAGTACAGGGTCAGCTTTAAGGTGCTGGTTTTGACCTTTAAACCCCTATGCAGCCTAGGACCCTTGTACCTATGGGACTGCCTCTCCTGGTATGCCCTGTGGAGGACCTTAAGGTCCATAAATAACAACCCAAGCCTCAAGGAGGTTAGATTGGTCTCAGCTAGGACCAGGGCCTTTTCAGCACTGGCCCTGACTTGGTGGAACGCTCCATCACAAGAGACCAGGGCCCTGCGGGATTTGACATCTTTCCGCAGGAGCTGCAAGGCGGAGCTGTTCCGCCTGGCCTTCAGCTTAGACTCACTCTGACCCCTTATATGGGATTTGGTATATAAATTTTCCCTTGGCTTTTTTTTTGCTGGCCCATGTAGGACCAGCATGGATAGCTGGCTCGGGTGAATGTCTGATGTTTCCTCCCTTTATGGTCTTGATTTTTGGCCACTAAAATGAGGCTGCATTTTAAGCTGTATTTTAAGCCATATTTTAATTGAATGGTTTTTCCCCCTATTACGTTTTATTATAATTTATATTTCGTGTTAGCCACCCTGAGCCCAGCCCTGGCCAGGGAGGCCAGGGTATAAATAAAAATTTATTATTATTATTATTATTATTATTATTAATCTTCCAAAGCATGTTGTTTTTTGGTGGCGATAAGAAGCTTCTGTGACCATCTAGGTCAGTCCCTTGTAGGTACCTACAAAGTACTGTCCTTGTAAGGTGCTAGTTGTTGCAGAAGCAAACAGCATGAATCCACCATCACCATTTTGAGGCACTGCTTTCTGGGACTTGGAAAAGAAAGATCTGAAGGGATGACTGGTCAGTAGGCAGCAGGGATGTGAACTCTAAAGGAGTTAGGATCCCCCTAATCACATCCTAGGCGCATAGCTGTCAACTTACAGATTTGAAAATAAGGGACCAGCAGCCTCGAAAATAAGGGATCAGCAGCCAAAATAAGGGATTTTCAGAGCACAGGTATGTTCGCCTTCTGAGCCCCTCCGAGCCAAAGGCAGAAAGCCCAGCCAGCAGCCAAACGAAGCCTCAAGCGGTAGTTCCCACAGCGCAGCAACCCGGCAAAGGGGATGCAGCAAGGAAAACCACCGTCACCTCTCGGCTGGGAAGCGCTGAGCAAAGGCGAGTCCCCAGGGAACGCGGCCGATTTGATTGGCACAAGGCATGCAGGGTCCACCCCCAAGTCGTTCTTAGACTCCTTATTGGGTGAGCAACGCATCCAAGCAACACAGTTGGAGCCTCCCTCCTCCCTGGCAGGCAGGCAGGCAGGCAGGGAGGGAGAGGAGCTGCTTCCTTTGAAACCCGGGAAATTTAAGGGACATCATCAATAAGGGACAGCAGCGGGACACGGCGCTGGGATAAGGGACTTTCCCACCAAATAAGGGACGGTTGAGAGCTATGCCTGGGCGTTGCAAAGGCTTTGCAAGCGGGAGAGAACAAGCCATGCCCAAAGCAGGACAGTTAAAAAAAATGACACGAGAGGGAAGTTTAGGCCACATTCCATAATGTCCATCGGAAAATGAGTGGGACAGGGTTTATTTAGGTCTCCCTGAAAAGCGCAGGGATGGCATCCTATCCCACTTCAACACAGACATGTTGAGTGGTGCAATTTTGGGGGGGAAATATGCCCCTAGGCTTGCCTTTAGGAGGCACCAGTGGGATTTAAAAGTGTTCAGGGCCAGACAGGAAGGATGAAGAGTGGCCAGCTGAGAATTCCATGCACGGATGGGAACAACTGGTGGGGAAGGGCCGGGAGACAAGATTGCCATTTTAAACCGTTATGAGAGAAGTGCTCCTTCAAAACAGTCAGGCGCAGAGGCCTTGGGGCTACTTACCCTGGCAAAGAGATTATTTCCCAAGAGGTTCTCCAGGAGTAGGGGTAGCTGCCTTTCCAGGTGTAACTTGCGGCATAGCTCAGTCAGCTCTTCCTTGTCCAAATACCCGGTGCCTGTGGCATCGCAGCTGTTGAACACGTCCTTCAGCTGGGACACATATTTGTTCTCTTCCTCACCCATCCCATAGTATAAAACTCAGCCTAAAACGAGTCAGTTGGAAAGGGGAGGAAGGAAAGAGAAGTGGAAATATGAGAGTCAACATTCCTAGTAAGGACTGATATCAAACATTCAACCACCATTCTTTTCTCCTTTTGCATTTTGTAGAACTGGGACTTTTCTTCTCTCTCTCTCTCTCTCTCTCTCCCCCCCTTTTAAGCGCCTAAATTTAAAATATGGTATTTGAGCAGGTTAAGGGTAGCCAACATGGTGTTCTCAAATGTGCTTGGGCTACAGTTCTCATTATCCCTGCTCACTGGCTGCGCTGCCTGGCACTGATGACAAGGATCAATGCTGGTTAAGAAGAAGAAGAAGAAGAAGAAGAAGAAGAAGAAGAAGGAGAGGAGAGGAGGAGGAGGAGTTTGGATTTGATATACAGCTTTATCACTATCCGAAGGAGTCTCAAAGCAGCTAACACTCTCCTTTCCCTTTCTCCCGCACAACAAACACTCTGTGAGGTGAGTGGGGCTGAGAGACTTCAAAGAAGTGTGACTGGCCCAAGGTCACCCAGCAGCTGCATGTGGAGGAGCGAGGAAGCGAACCCGGTTCACCAGATTACAAGTCTATTGCTCTTAACCACTACATCACACTGGCTGGGTTAACAGCCCACCACAGTGGTAAAAAGCACCAATGAAGAAATTCCAGGTTCAAAGCTGAACAAAATGTGAGCTCACTCGAATTGCCCAACCTAGCACCCTTCTGATGTTGTTGGACGTTTTTGCTCCAATAGTCAAGAAGCTTTGATCCTTGGCTTCAGGGAGCCTGAACCCCAAGGATGGGGAACACATGGCCATCCATATATTGCTCCCAATAGCACCAGCCAGGATAGCCAATTATGGGAACCTTAGTCCTACAACATCTGGAAGGCGCTAGGTTTGGTGAGGCTGGTCCACACTGATTGGCAGCAGCCCTTAGGGATTCAGCCAGGAGTCTTGTCAAGCCCTACTGAAGATCTGGGGACTGACCCTGGAGAGCTTCTGCAATCAAAGGATGTGCTCTACCACTGAGGTACAGTCCATCCCCAAACTTATTCAGTTGTGCAGACTGGCTACCGCTATCAGTTTTCCAACACCATAACCGTGTTGGAACCATAACCATAACCGCCTAAAGCAGATTAGCCACCACAATTTTCTATCCAAAGCTCCTTTCTCCGCCCAATTCCAGCACTAACTCCAGAAAGCAGAAACACATACTCAACTTCTTTACAGAGTAGTTACGCCCCAACTGTGTTGTGGGACTGTGTTTATAAAAAAAAGTTTTGAGTATCCTGTGATGCAGGTTTTCCTTCTATTCTGCTTCCATTCACTTCTGCCTTCCTGTATATTTGATGGTTTCTTTGTTCAGTGCATGATGGTGGGATGCATAAAACTCCAACCAGAAAGAATCCGTAGTTTTTAACTGGAGGAAAGTTTGCAGTGGATTTGAAGTGACAATTCTAACTTCTCACAACACACTTCTCTCCCCAGTGAGCACCACACTGCTGGGGTATGTTCAGTCAACAGCTTCCCATGAAGTACCTCTTGCCCATCTGGTGGAAAATGGAAAGGGAGGCTTTGGGCAGGCTGCGGTAGCAGAGGAGAGGCTGCAGGCTGGATCCGTCCCATAGTTCCCCACCCTTGCTAGGGGAATCTCAGGAGGAAGAACCCAATCTCCTTAAAGAATGTAAGACTAAGCAGAGTCTCCTTAGAACAAGATGGTGAAAGGGTTAAATTACAGAGTTATGACAAATTAAAGTCTAAAGTACGAGATTGGTTGCATTACCTTCAGATAAACGAGGTATTTAAACAGGACAGGAAAATAGGTTTTCAGATGGAGAGGTCGAAATTAGAAACAGAATTGTTAGAACCCAATACTAAGAATTTGTCAAGAATGTATAACTTGCTGCTGAAATGGAATACACAAGATGAAACAGTAAAATCAGCTATGATCAAATGGGCACAAGACATAGGTCATGACATTATGTTTGATGACTGGGAAAAGTTATGGAACACCGGTGTTAAGTTTACGGCTTGTAATGCCTTGAGAGAAAACATAATGAAAATGATCTATAGGTGGTACATGACCCCAGTCAAACTTGCAAAAATTTACCATTTGCCCAATAATAAATGTTGGAAATGTAATGAGACTGAAGGTACTTTCTATCACCTTTGGTGGACCTGCCCGAAGATTAAAGCCTACTGGGAAATGATCTATAATGAAATTAAAAAGGTCCTTAAGTGGACATTTTCTAAAAAACCAGAGGCTTTTCTCCTGGGCATGGTGGGCCAATTGGTGCCAAGGAAGGACAGAATTTTTTTCATGTATGCTACCACAGCAGCAAGAATCCTTCTAGCAAAGTACTGGAAGACGCAGCAGCTACCCGCTCTGGAAGAATGGCAAGCGAAGGTGATTGACTACATGGGAATGGCAGAGATGACCGGCAGAATCCGTGACCAGGGGAGTGAGACAGTGGAAGAAGATTGGAAGAAATTTAAAATATATCTTAAAAATTGTTGTAACATTGAGGAGTGCTGAGATGTTATGGTGTTAAGAAACAGAGAATTGCAGCTGTAAATCATAAGTTTAAGGAAATTATAATGAAGATGAGTTAATTAATTAAATGGAGGGTTGCTGTGAAAAGGTAAAAATAAGGATGCAGAAAAAGGGAGGTATGGGGAAGTCCGGGAAGTAAGGTGAAGGAAAATAAGTTTATGAAATTATACATGTTTATTTGTTTGTATGTTTTGTTCTGTTTTATTGTTTGTTTTTATTACATGTTTGGAAAATTAATAAAAATTATTTTTTTAAAAAAAAAAAGACTAAGCAGAGTCTCCTGGATCAGGCCAGTGGCCCATCTAAGTCCAGCATCCTATTCTCACAGTGGCCACTCACATGCCTGTGGTAAACTCACGAGCAGGATTTGAGCAGAAGAGCACTACCCCCTCCTGATGTATTGCCACCTCAAAACATGGAGGGCAGAACACAGCCCTCTAGTAGCCTTCAAAGGCCTTCTTCCTACATGAACTCCTTCCAAATTTCCTTTCACTGTAGGGAGGCGGGGAGAAAATATTGTGTTTCTAAACCTCTTTTAAAGGGTGGCACTGTGGGTTAAACCACAGAGCCTAGGACTTGCCAATCAGAAGGTTGACGGTTCGAATCCCCGTAACGGGGTGAGCTCCCATTGCTCGGTCCCTGCTCCTGCCCACCTAGCAGTTCGAAAGCACGCCAAAGTGCAAGTAGATAAATAGGTATCACTCTGGCGGGAAGGTAAACGGCGTTTCCGTGTGCTGCTCTGGTTCACCAGAAGTGGCTTAGTCATGCTGGCCACATGACCCGGAAGCTGTACGCCGGCTCCCTCGGCCAATAAAGCGAGATGAGCGCCACAACCCCAGAGTCGGCCACGACTGGACCTAATGGTCAGGGGTCCCTTTACCTTTGCCTTTAAACCTCTTTTAAAAAGCCTAACAGTCAGCTCAGGTTAAATTTATTGCACAGACCTAAAAACCAAAGGGAAATTTTGTGTTGTAACTCGCAGTCCATGTACCAGAGAGCACCCCCCGGGGGAGACTTGACCGTAACATTTTAAGGGTCAGTCAGCATTATACTGTAGATGTAATACATCAAACAGCTGGGGAGAGAAGGCTGGAGAGAGTGATTTCTACATCAAGAGAAACAGCAGAATGGCCTGAAATTAATACAATGGGGCGAAGATTCAATCATTTATGTAAACAAACCCAGCTTCCTACCACATACCTCTTTTTTAGTGTCCAGAGGAGCTGGCCTCTCACCCACTGCTCTGAGCAACACCCACGCCAGGGCACTTTGCTGATCTGTGAGATTTGTGTTGTTTTAGGTGCTCAGTTCCTTGAGCGTTCACGGCATGGCACAAATCATTACGTAAGAGTGGAATGTCGACAGCTTGTAGATAGAAAGAGAGCGAGGGGGTAGAAAAGTCTGGGGTTTGCCTCAATGTTGTATCCTTTTGAAACGAACTAATTGACCATGCTGTTGTTTAAGAAGTAGAGCATGCCATGCATCCATTTCTATCCAACAAGGTAGCTTTGGAGGAGAGGGAGAGCTAGTGAGAAAATGGAAACTAGACAGCCTCCTTCCTCCATCACCAAACTCCTTGAAGACAGATTTTCATTTGGCACAGCCAAGAATTTCCGTTCTGGAAGCATTCTTGGCTACACCAACAGCTGGAACTAAGAGGAATTAAGTCTGTCTTTAAGCCAAGCCAAACTGCATTTCTGGCACAAAGATGCTTATCAGACAATCCTTACCGTCTCATGGCCAAACCAGCCAGACGTAAGAACGTAGACCTCTTCTCCATCCAGTTTTGCCCCCCGTCTCCTGCTGCTGATTCCACCCCACCCACGCCCCGAAGAATTGGGCAAAAACCAAACCTGTTTTAAGATTCATGTAGGAAGAACTGACCGAGCTCTAAGCAGTGGGCAAGTTTTTTCCCATCCATTTGAATAGCAGGCTCTTGACATATTTTCAGGGGGAATTCCGCCATGGAGATCATGGCTACTCCCTCAGCTACATTCTCCTAAATTTTAATCTGCATTTACTTTTCTGAGATTCAGACAAAATAATAATAATGATATAACTTCTATAACAGCCAGAGAAGCAGAAGCTTCCCCAAAAGAATCTCATTTTGCAAGGGCATGCCCAGCTCTAGGTCCCGTTTGAAGGCAACTGTGGGATGGATGGACCACTGACCTCACCAAGTACAGTTGGTTTTGCATTCTTAATTCTACTGTTGCATAATGCTGACATTGATTTCATCGAGAGTTCCAGTAGTGGCTCAGGCAGTAGTATCTGGACCATGAGATATCTCCTGAAGTTCATTCTCCACATTTAGTGACCAAGAGGAATGTCTTGGGTGTGCCATGCCAGTTATACTGAGTTTTAACGTAGGGCCTGTATTTAGCACAACACAACTATTTATAATGGAAACTTCTGCGGCACCAACTGCTTCAGGGTCCTGCACCAGTCAAGC